TGCTCTCTCTCTCTCTCTCATTCTCTCTCTCGCAAATAAATAAATAAAATCTTAAAAAAAAAAAAAAAGTAGAGCCCTGGGACGCCTGGGTGTCTCAGTCTGCCTTTGGCTCAGGTCATGATCCCAGGGTCCTGGGATCCAGCCCCGCATCGGTTTCCCTGCTTGGCAGGGAGTCTGCTTCTCCCTCTGACCCTCCCCCCTCTCGTGTGCTCTCTCTGTCTCACTCTCTCAAATAAATGAATAAATAAAATCTTTAAAAAAAAAAAAAAGAAAATGGAAAGCACAGGTGTCTTTGAAGTGGAATTATCTGTAACTTTTATCAGATGCCCTCCTGAGTCCATCCATATGTGTAGTGTTCCAGTTCACGGGCAAGGAATTGTCCATTTATCTCCGTTGTTAGCCGGACGTAAAAGTCCAAAAAACCAAGCGGAGGGCCACGTTTGGTGATCTATGTCTCTTTTCTTCCGTTACCTTTATACCCCTTAGATTCTGATGTCAGTCGGGAGTGTTTGTGAGCAAGATAGCGGTGCTTTGCTGGAGCACGCAGACAACCTTGCGAGGGTGAGGAAGCGTTTTATCCATTCGGTGCAGCCGAACTGCACTGTGTGTCTGTTTTCATGGCCAATGTGCAGGGTCTAGTTCAGCCAGAATCTCCTCCTCAGCCCTCCCTGGATCTTCCTCCATAATCTAATCAAATGAAACAGCTGAGATCATGAGGAACTTCTGAAAAGAAACCACATCACAAAATGACCCACGCTCTAGCTTTAGCCTGACTGCAATTGTCCAGCTGAGCTGAGTAGGTGGGAATTGTATGGTTGGCCGTGGCTCGTAGGGTTTGCCATCTGCTCCTGCTGTTGAGAAGGATTGGGGTGAAGACGCCCGCAAACCTCTTGGTCCCTAAGGCAGGAGGAAGTGGCATTACAAACACACCAAAGAAGGAGTGTTTTCTAGAACCAGGGCATTGAGGAAGTTACCTCTGGGAGAATTCCAAAACTTCCCTGAGCAGGCGCTCCATGGCCACAAGGCTCAGATGGCAGAGATTATGTTGGATCCCAGCCCCCATTTGGCCCTCAGCCTAATGCCCTTGTGCCAATGGCTTTACCTCAGAACGTGGAGTTACATCACATGTGCATATAGCTTACCCAGACGAAACTCTTACTTACTGGGGGCTTGGGGAGGGGAAAGAAGAAAAACATATCTTTAAATATTCCCACTGACCAAATAGTTGGGGGGGGGTGTACCCCGTAGGCAATGGAGCAGTCAAGCTTAACACAGAGAAGCCTACAAAATGTATGTATGAAAGATTTTAAGAAATTTGTCTTGCCACTGACCAATAAGACATAATGAAAACAAAGCAACAAGCCAAAAAAAATCTCCAGTGACCAAAGAGAAAAGAGTGTTTTGTGGATAAGTAAGCTGAATAATGAAGGGTCTAGAGTTAAAGTGATGAAGTTGCCAAGCAGGTGGTACAGTCTACACAAACCAACCCTTTATATTGTACTTTATGGGTAATTCAAGGAGTTTGCCAGGCTCGTTTTGCCTTACAAGCTGAATGTAGAGCCTAACCAGAAAATGCCCAACTATCCCATTTATGGATTTTTTTTATTATGTTATGTTAGTCACCGTACAGTACATCATGAGTTCTTGATGTAGTGTTCCATGATTCAATGTTTGCGTATAACACCCAGTGCTCCGTGAGCCGAGATGCCCTTCAACAGATGAATGGATAAAGAAGATGTGGTCCATATATACAATGGAATATTACTCAGCCATCAGAAAGGATGAATACCC